AACATTTGCTTTTTCTGCCATACTGCGGATTAAATTCAGAGGTTTGTGCTTGCTAGGCAAGTGCTCTACCACTGAGCTATATCTCCAGTCCTTTTTTTAAATTTTTATTTTGAGACAAGGTCTTGCTGAGTTGCCCAGGCTGATCTTGAATTCATGATTCTCTTGCCTCATATTCCCAGGTAGCTGGGATTACAGGTGAGTGCCACTGTACCTGTCTCCTGAGCTGCTGGGATTAAGATATGCACCACCATGCCCGGCATAACCCAGCACGGTCTCCACTGACACTGTGGTGAGGGTGGCCTCATTATTGCCAGGCGATGGTGAAGGTCCTGATTCTCTGTTAGGCCTCCTCTAACAATACTCCAGCAGGGTGGGAAGGATACCTCCTTATTTTGGGGTGCTAGTGAAAGTCCTGGCTACTCATGGAGTCTCTACTCACACTGTAGGGAAGATCACATTATTGGCCAGCAGGCACCATCCTTGGCCTTCTTTGACACATTCTGCTGAAGGTGTTGGAATACCTCTTTACTGTCTCCCAAGGGCGGAAGTCTAGGCTCCCCAGTTGGTCTTTGTGGACATGGATGGGAATGGAGCTATAGTATTTTTCCCTTCTATTGTTACGTGGCTAGAATAGAGCAACACTTTTTTATCTCACTAGACAGTCCTTTTCCTGGGATTTTAGCTAGAGAGAGCAAACATTTTGGGGAGCTATTACATTGTTTCTATTGATGTTTTCATGTTTCTGGCTTTTTAAGCTATCAGTCTAGGATATATGAGGCAAAAGAAAACTCAAGGAGCATATACTGTATGATCCCTTGGGTTTTGATATTTCTAACCAGACTTCTTTCTTCTCTCCACCTTTCAGAATCTCTTTGCTTTATATAAGGTCCAGCATTTTTAGATATACTTAGAGGGAGGAATAGGGAAATTTACTCCTTCTTCCTTGAATAATGTGTCTTTTAATGTCTTAAAATTTGCTGCTGAGGTTAAGAGTTCTTACGGACAAGAATGGGGTAGTGGTGTGGAAGGAGAAAAAGGAAACAGATTTGGAACTACTAAAAAGAAAGAAGAAATCTGAGTCCCAATTGAATTCTTGTTCATTAAGAATTTAGGCAACATTTATGACTAACACGGTATTGGTGCTAAGAATATAAGGAAAAATAAGATGATTTTTGCTTGTTGGTAGCTCAAAAGTCTAGACCAGTGGAGGATAAACCCAAATAAGGAAATAATTATAACATTATAGGTGACCTGAGTCCTAAAGCATTAGTAGAAATTCTCTAGGTTAACTTGGAGAAGATTATCTAGGCAAAATAAATGGTTTGATAAAGGCAGAGAAACCAAAAAAAAATTTTTTTTTTGTCGGTTTAGGGGAATGGCAGGCATTGATGTGAAAAGAGGAGTTTGTGTGTGTGAATGATAGAGAAGGCTGAAGATATTGGTTAGGACCAGAGTGGGAAGGGCTTTAGTATGTTTTGCCATGCTGAAGAGGTTTAACACTTATGTAGGAAAGGGAGAGTAATCTTTAAGCTATTGAGTGAGCATTTAAAAATAAAGGATTTTCTTGTTTGTATCCATGACTATCTGTATTTTATAATATCCTTTTACATGAAGTGGATGGTAAGACCTGCTGCTCGGCTTTCATCTGTCTTTTCTACCTTTTTCTATGTGATCATATGTGGTTAGAAGCAGGGGGAAAGATATGTTTGCTTAAACATCTCCAGTTACTAGATAGAAATGTGTAAATGTAACAGATGCACTAGTGCTGCCCAGGATGAAGCTATTGTTGCAAATCTGTTCTCACAGACAGTTTGTCTTCACTAGCCATGAGAATGTGTGTGTGCTTGAATAGAGTAGCACCCAGTTAAGCTTAATGGTCACCTCACCATCCACTTACCCTTTTATAATCATTTCAGCCTATTCGACAACAGTGGTTTTTTCATAGAATCTAGAATTGTGCAGGATGGGAATATATTAATTTTTGGAAACAAAATATTCATATCCCCTCCCCAAATGGGAATGTATGGTTCTAGCTCATTATGTTAGATATATCTTTTATCATGGCAAGTGTTACACTGATTTTTAAAATTGTATTCTTCATCCTCTATACCTGTGGTCACTGTCTCCCTTTATCTGTAGGTATTCTATTAGTATTGGCCAACTCTTCCTGTCTTCTATAATAGCATATATCCAAACCTTATGGTATCCCTAATGTATTGGTATATTTTTAAAAAAGCCCATATACAATAACACTTTATTTTTATGCTGTCTAAATCTTTTATTTAAAGACATCTGGTATGTTTGGCTCAGCGGACAAAATATGACAGTGCTGAAAAGTAGTATTAGCAATTCTTATGACTTTCTACATATTTTAAGATGTTTATGGCAGAAATTATATACTGTGGTGGATAGAGTAGCAGAGTAAGAAAAAATTTATCACTGATATGCTGTTGCTTAGTTGTTTAGATTTTGAAAAAAAACAGTAGTCTTGTCTGTGAATTCCTGAGTTTTAAACAATTTTTAACTGTAAAATAGGGAAAATCACCTCTAATATCATGTGATAAGAATATTAATATTTTAAATGTAGTATATTGGTTTTTTAATGTAGCATAAAATATTGCTACTGTTAATGTTTCCAAAGTGGCTCACTAGAATTCAGTTCCTTATAAAAATTAAAACACATGACCTCTTTATGGCTACTGGTAACTTTTTGGTTTGAACTTCTATATGAATGATAATTAGAAACATAATATTGAACTGAACATTTACTTATAAAGTGCCTTAGATATTAAAACATTTTAGATATTTAAAACTGAGTTGGCTTTAATTTAAATTTGAAAAATCATTATAAAATTTCAATGATATTTTTCTGCTTACGTTTTAAATTCAGTAATAAAATATCCTGGATTTGTAGAATAATTAGTATTATTATAACATTTCACAATCATGTGGGGAATTGGTGAAAAAGAGGAACTTAATTTGATTTACTATGGCATACCTATTTATTGACTACATACTAGCTTTACAACAAGACCATGATAAATAATGGCATCTTGTGAGACATGTGTAAGAACTAGTTCATAGTTTAGAATGTAAGATTATGTGTACTGTCCTCTGCTGCATGGAAAATGTCATCCTAGTTAAAATGATCAGCATCTTGCTAACTTATTAGTGATTTGCTTTGTTTAAAGTAAGCTTGAAAGTCTTCATGTTACATTTGCTGAAGGAATTTGAACTCACAAGCCAAATTCCCTGAGATATGAGTGATTCTGTAAGTTCCTGGATTTGTAGAATAATTAGTATTATTATAACATTTCACAATCATGTGGGGAATTGGTGAAAAAGAGGAATTTAATTTTCATTTACTATGGCACATCTATAATTACATAGATTTATAATTTCTCAAGTCAAAGACCAAGATCCAGATAAACCAGGGAAATTAACAGGCCATACCATTGGAAGTTTTTTTGTGATAATTTGGCATTGTGATTTGTATGCATTTGTTTTCAGATGAAGTTACTTAAAAGTGGTGCGTGCTTAGTAGAGGTGCATGAGGAGAGAAATGCTAGATTTTGTTCTTTTCATAACACAGTTGCCAGATATATTTTGCTTTCCTGAAAAAGTTGTACTATCTTTACTCCTCCTTTAAATCTGTTGCCTTTCTAAGCATGATACCAAAGGCAAATATCCTGAAGAAAAGAGTGATAGATTTACTACAAAAAAAAAATCCTAAAGTTTCTGTCTGCCAAATTCACTAGAAACAAGATTAAAAGGCAACTGACAACTGGGAGCAATGGTATATATAAGACATATGGTGAACCCAGGGTGAAGATCCTCTTCTGAAGAGCCTTTAAGTATAAAAGAGAACACAGTATGTGCCAGTCCACATTTCTTCTAAAGAACTAGGTACTGTTATCATGTTTATTTTACAGATAAATTGATGCATAGAGAGGTCTTACATTAGTGATAAATGTAAGCTGCACTTCCCTTCATTCTCATGCATTGAAAGAAAACAAAGTGTTAACAGCAGTTTTCTCTGTTACTGGGAATATGAGTAGAGTTTATTTTAATTTTCTACAATATAGATATTTGAACTTTTTCAAGAAAAGTTAGTATAAAATTTCCTCTTGATGCATGTAGATGTTTTTTTAAAGCATCATTACAAGTTTGCTAAGAAGAAATTTTAATCCTTTAATCCTCCTCCAAATTCTAATGAATGGAACACCATGGATGATTATTTTGGTCCCAATTGAGAACTATCAATAATATTATTTTCAATATTATTATTGTTGAATATCAATAATATTATTTTCAAGTATTTTTAAAATTTAAATAACTTAAAAAATTTTTTTAGACATTGATGGATCTTTATTTTATTCATATATTTATATGGGATGCTGGGAATAGAACCCAATGCCTCACACATGCTAGGCAAGTGCTCTACCACTGAGCCACAACCCAAGCCCCTAATTTAAATAACTTTTATTATTTGCATATGGTTGAAAGAAGTTGCCTTTGAATAAACAAACATTATTTTGTATCAGGTAAACTCTTGAAAGAATGATTGTTTTATTCATAATTTTTATGTCAATTTTCTCATCTCATTTTTTGTCCAATTTTACCTTTTTTTTTGCTTTTCTTTTACCTCTCTACATTAATATTTGCCTTTCTATTTGCTATTCTTTCTGGTGTATTTTGTTTTTCTTTTTTTTTTGGTAAAATACCTCTCTTCTTTTTTATTCATTCTTTTGAAGCATAATCATCCAGTGTTCATCTTTAAATTCTTTATTTTTTTCTTTTTTTCACCCAATGAAAATTTTAACACTCTACTGTCATAGATTTGTTGTGAGAAATGTAAGACAACAAATTTCTTATTTTATATTATACTATTTAACCATTAAGATTATATAACTTAGTTCCCAATAATTAATAATTTAGTTTCAGTATTTGTTTATAAACTTCCACTAAGAGTTTTGGCTTTCTGTAAGTGGGGGACTTACAGTTAGGATATTTTTCCTCAATGCTTGGACATTTTTCTTCTTCTGCCTTCAGCAAGTCAATTTATACTTTGGAGATATGGCACAGAACTAGATGATTCAAACTAAGGAAAAACAAAACCAGATTTCGAATTAATTTCCCATTCTTCCCCAAGTGAAGTTCCAACAGGTATGTAGTGTATAATGGATTCTCCATCTTGTTCCTATGTCAGGCAGAGTAAAGCAGTCAGGGATTAGAGACTTCACATCATGTCTTTAAATCCTGAGGAAATATTTTGAGGTTGCAATTAAACTAAACTATGACATATTTGGTGGTTTGACTTGCTGCAATTCTTTGATTTGAACACTGAGTGGCACTAAAGCCTAGGTCACAGATGAAATATTGATCCCAAACTTAAAAAGATTCAGGGGTCTATTGAAGGGTAAATGGCTTTGGATAGTGCAAAAAGGATTAGTCAAAGTATTCTGAGCCAAAAAAAAAAAAAAAAAAAAAAAGAAAAAGAAAAAGAAAAACAAGAAAAGTTAGTTTGATAACCATTTTTTTTTTTTTTTTTGGGCACTGGTATTAAACCAAATTCTACTGCTTTCAATTTGCAAATTATTTGCAAGCAAGAAGTAAACTGCTCTTGAAATGATCAAGATAGTTAACTTCATTATAATCTATTTTTGTATATTTCCCCTTGTTCTTTTTAAGGAGGAAATATCTATTCTTATAAAAAGGTTTGTAGGTAGGATGCACCCATAAGTATGTTGATCCTTAAGCTCCTGGGCACCATAGTAAACATTACTTCTGAACTCAAGCATCCTTAGAGACTGTTCAATTATACATATAAATGTGTGTTTATGCATTTTCTGAATTTTGGAGGTTTCAGTGTCATTTAAGTTTGAAACAAATTAGAAATTTTTTATTTTGGAGAAGAGAGAAAAATCATTCTGTTTTGTTGGTTCTCTGATTTTTTAAATTTAAAAACTCTCAGGCTTTATTGAGATATAAATGATAAATAATAATTTTGTATTTTAAGATATAAAATGTTATTGTTTGATATACTGAACATGTACATTGTGAAATAATTGCTGCAATCAAGCTCATTAACCCTCCATAACTTTGAATAGTTACCATTTTTGTTTTAGTTTTGTTGAGGCACAGTTGACAAATACTAATCATATATATATATGTGCAGTATACAACATACTTTAATGTATGTATATATTGTGAAATTATTAACATAATCAAGTAATTAACCCTTCCTTCCATCACTTCTAGTCATCTTTTTTTGTTGTTGTTGTTCATTTGTGGTGAGAACATTTAAGATCTTCTTTCACAGCAAATTTTATGTGTGCCATTTCCCCATGTCCTCGTCTGGCAATACTCTCTGCTTTTATTTGAGTTTTATCTCAAGTGAGATCATGAAGTATTTGTCTTTCTGTGCCTGGCATATTTTAGCATAATGTCCTTAGGTTCATCCATGTTATTGCAAAATGAAAATATTTCTTTCTTTTTTAGGCTGAATAATATTCCATAATATGCACATATCACATTTTCTTTGTTCATTCATTCATCAGTGGACACTTAGGTTGATTCTACATCAGGTTATTGTGAATATGCTTTAATGAACATGAGAGTGCAGATATCTCTTTAAGATACTGATTTTATTATCTTAGGTGTGTACACAGAAATTGCTGAGATTGCTGAATCATACAGTATATCTTTTATTTTTAAAAAATATTTTTTAGTTCTTGATGGACCTTTATTTTATTTATTTGTATGTGGTGCTGAGAATTGAATCCAGTGCCTCACACATGTTAGGCAAGCACACTATCACTGAGTCACAACCCCAGCCCCATGTCTTTTAATTTTTAAGGGAATTATGTACTGTTTTCTATAATAGCTGTACCATTTTTCAATCCCACCAACAATGTGCAAGAGTTTTCTTTTCTCCACGTCCTTATCACCAGTTTGATAAAGGCCATTCTAACAGGTATAAGAAGATATCTTGTGGTGGTTTTCATTTGTATTTCTCATGATTAGTGATACTAAACATTTTTTTTCTGTACCTATTAGACTTTTCTGTCTTTTCTTTTGAAAAGACATCTCATTGGTTTAGCTCCTTTCCCCATTTAAAAAATAAGGTTATTTGTTTTCTTGTTGTTGAGTTGTTGTGGTTCCTCACTTACTTTAAACATTAATTCTTATGAAATTTATAGTTTGCAAATATTTTCTTCCATTCTGTGGGTTGTCTCTTGATTTTTTTCTAATTGTTTCCTCTGCTGTGCAGAAGTTTTTTACTTGCCTGTGATTTTTGGGCAGAAAAATCATTGCAAGATCAAAATTGAGAAGCTTTCCCCCTGTGTTTTAGTTTCAGGGCTTTCAGGGCATGTATATATATATATATATATATATATATATATTTGGTACTGGTACTGGGGATTGGACAAGAGGGCATTTTACCATTGAGCTACATCCCCATTTCTTTATTTAAAAAAATTTTAAATTTTAAGATAGGGTCTCTCAAAGTTGGTGAGGGTCTTGCTAAGTTCTAAGGCTAGCCTTGAATGTTGGATCCTCCTATCTCGGCCTCTCCAGCCACTGAGATTACAGGCATGTGTCACTGTGCCCAGTGAGATATGCCAGTGTTTTAACAGCTATTATCAACTAGATTTATTCTCATTTGTACAATACAACCTGGAAGACTTTTTGTCATTAATTAAATCTCTGTATTTGTTATCAGTCTATTCAGATTTTCTATTTCTTCATGATTCAGTTGTGCCAGTTTATATGTGTCTAGGAATTTACCCATTGCTTCAAAATAAACCAGTTGTTGACAATTGTTTTTAGTAATTTCTTATGATACTTTGTATTTCTTGGTATCAGTTGTAATGTCTTTTTCTTAATTTCTGATCTTTTTTGAGTCATTCTTCTATTTTTCCTAGTAGTCCTAGTTTAGGATTTGTGATTTTGCTTTTCTTTTGAAAAATATAAACTCTGTTTTATTGTGTTTATTTTTCTATCATTATAATAGTCTCTATTTCATTTATTTCTCCTCCAAACTTTCTTTCTTTGTTCTTTTTCTAGTTCTTTGAGTATAATGTGAGGTTATTTATTTGAGATTTTCTTTCTTTTTTGATACAAGCATTTATCCATATAAATTTCCCTCTAGGACTGCTTTTTTTTTCTGCTGCATTTCATAAATTGTGGTATATCTTCATTTTTGCTTGTTTCAAGGTATTTTTTTAATTTTCATTTTGCTTTTTTGTGTGATCCACTATATGTTTAGGAACATACCATTTAGTTTCCATGTATTTGTTTCTTTTCCAAGATTTCACCTGTAATTAATTTCTAGTTTTGCCATTGTGATTCAAAAAGATACTTGACAGTATGATTTCAGTCCTCTTAAATTTGCTCAGATTTGCTTTTTTGTAGCATAATGTATGATCTGCCCTGGAGAATATTCTGTGTACCTACCCTTGAAAGAAATGTGCATTCTGCTGCTGTTAGATGAAATGCTCTCTATATGTCTGTTAGGTCTAAAATATAATTCAAGTCCAATATTTCCTGATTGATTTTCTGTCTACATAATCTGCCCATTGATAAAAGTGGAGATTTGAAGTACCCTATTATTGTAGTATTGCAATCCATCTCTCCTTTCAGATCACTTAATAGATGCTTTATATATTTAAGTGCAATGAAGTTGAGTGCATATATATTTTTATTATGTCTTCTTGGTGAATTAAACCCTTTATCATTATGTATGAACCTCTTTGTCTCTTTTTATAGCTTTTTTTTTTTTTTTTTTTTCTGGGGATTAACTCAGGGGCCCTCAGCCACTGAGCCACATTCCCAGGACTTATTTTGTATTTTATTTAGAAACAGGGTCTCACTGAGTTGCTTGGCTCTTTTGCTGAGGCTGGCTTTGAACTTGCTATCCTTCTGCCTTAGCCTCCTGAGCCATTGGGATTATAGGTGTGAGCCACTGTGCCCAGCTTTTTATAGTTTTTGACTTAAAGTCTATTTTGTCTGATGTAAGTATAGCTACCCCTGCTCATTCAGTTTTCATTGGTGTGGAATATCTGTCTCTGTCCCTTCACTTTCAGTCTATGTGTATCCTTACTTGTAAAACAAATCTCTTGTATGTAACCTGTGGTCTGAACTCTGCCCGCCTTTAAATTCATTTAATCATTCTGTGTCTTTTTATTAGATGTATTCCATGTACATCTAAGGTCATTGTTGATAGGTAAGAACTTGCTACTGCCATTTTGAAATTTGATCTCTGATTTTTTTTTGTTTGTTTTAGTCCTTTCTTTCTTTCTTCCTCCATTGCTGTATTCATATGTGGTTTAATTATTTTGGGTGTGGGTATATTTAAATCCTTTTTTAAAAATACTTTAAGCAATTTTAGGCTTGATCCTTTGGTTACCATGAGGTTACATGAGGTCTTATTCACAAAATAGCCTACTTTAATTGGTAATAACATCCTTTAAAACTATACTTTCATTCCTTCTCTCCCACCTTTTATGATTTTGATGTCAAAATTTATATATTTTGTCATTTGTATTCCTTAACAATTTATTGTAGCTATAGTTGTTTTTAATGGTTATTTTGAATCTTTCTAGTAGTGATAAAATTATTTTACCCACCACCAGAATTAGAATTCTGGGTACGATTAGTACTACTTATAACATTTTTTTTCCTTTGAAATCTTTTAATAAATGGCAGCATTTTGTTTCATCTTGAAGAACTTCCTTTAGCAATTTCTGTAAGACCATGAACTGTTGAGAGCCACAGCCAAAGGGGCCCCAGCAAACTTCCAGCTGCCAGCAAACTTCCAGCTGCCGGCTGATGATTGGCTCACAGCGGCCCCA